CTGCTATACTTTTTGAAGCTCTGGGTGGAGAACCCTTCAAGTAGTGTCACTCATTTCCTATTGAAGGTCAACAAAAGGAGCTGTGGATGAGAACCAGGATCTTGTCTCAGGATGACTCAAAGAGGCAGGAGGATGAATTGACAGAGATATCTGTAGCCACTGATATTCAAAACAGTACAAGCAGTGTTGAAGGCAAAGTATAGGTGATGTGTGATGTCTGTGAGGGGAGTAAAGTGAGGCTGGGACAGCCTCTCTCACGCAGCATTGTTTCTCTTTAGCCTTTCCAAATTTCTCCACCTTACTCTACTATCTGTATCTCCATTGCCTCTCCTCACAAAAACCTTTTCACCTCCATTGGCAGACTTTTAATTAGCTGAATTCTGTTCCTTCTGTCACCTCTTCCACAGCCAGGGAACAGAGGTCTGTATGAGGCCACCTTGCTGCTGTAGGAACAGAAAAAGTGGTGTAAAGCCCTGCCTGCACCTCTGCTGAGCCAGGAGCACTTTGGCTCAGCTGTGGACTGGCATGAGAAGGCTGCCAGGTACTTGTGTGCAACACTTGTACTTGTGTACAACATTGTCTAGCATGGCAGAGGTTCACCACCTTCACCAAATATCTTTTGTTTCTCATCTGAACTACATTCAGGAGGGAACTCAACTTTTCTCATGGGTAGATAGAGATAGGACAAGGAAAAATGGTTTTAAAATATAGGAAGGTGGAGATTCATATTTATCTGAGGTTGATCAGATTTCTTTTAGACTCAAGCAATATATTTTCTTCTTGAAACAGTTCAAGGAATACCAGTAAGTATTTAGCGTGAAAACTTCCTGTTCCATTCATGCAATGCTAGTCCCTATTATGTGCCATTACACCAAAAGATTATAATCCTGAAATAAAATTCCTAAATGAACACCGTGGTTAAAGGCAGCCAACATTACAGTCACCAATAGGGCACAGAAGCAACATGGGACTGTGATGAAATTGCTTTTTTGTTCTTTTAGCTCAACCATCAGAATCACAAAGTCACAGACTCATAAAATGGCTGAGGTTGACAGAGACTTCTGGGCCATTTGACCCAACCCCTGCTCGGTAGGGACACCATCTTCAAAGAGGAGACCCCACAGCCTCTGGACAGCCTGTGCCAGTACTCCGGCACTGTACAACACAGCAGTGCTGACTGGTGTTCAGAGGGAGCCCCTGTGCTCCAGTTTGTGCTTTTGTTCTGGCTCTGGGCACCAATGAACAAGCCTGGCTCTGTCCTCTGTGCACTCTCCCTTCAGATATTTGTGGACGTTGATGAGATCCCCCTGACTCTTCTCTTCTCCAGGCTGAATGCACAGAAGAGGAACACCAAGCCCTTCATCATCTTGAAAGCCCTTTGCAGGACTCCTTCTAGGAACATCCAGGTCTCTCTTGTACTGCAGTAGCCAGGCCTGAACGCAGCACTCTAGGTGTAGCCTCCTCAAAGCTGATTAGAATGGAAGCATCACTCTCTTCTGCTCTATCGGTGATACTTTGCCTAGCCCAGCCAACAACCAGGCTAATACAAACTTGCTGGTGTAGTTGGCTTCCCTTTGGTATACAGTGAATTTAGATGAGAGAATTAATTATAGTTGTTAGTACTCTGAAAGTAGTTGAAATCAATGGGTGTAAAGGAAACTCAGCCACAATCATTTTTCAGTAAAGGGTTTGGTCTTTGGTGTTTTGTATTCAAATCAATCAAATCACAGAGTGAACTAAAAGCAGCATGTAGCCCAAGATGTCTCCTTGTTCTGATGTGAACATACATGTACTTGTGTGCCTGGATGGGCAGATCCGTGTGCTGCGTGTGGTCAGTAAGAGGTTAGGTGAGAAGACAATTACTTCTGTGTTGGCTTTGGAGATCTCCAGTGTCATCCACAGGGCTTTGACCAAGACCAGCTACTTGGAAATTGCACTGAGAAAGTGCTAAGGCAGGAGTGATGGAAATGAAGACTGGCTTATGCAGGAAATAAAGTTCAAAATATCTGATACCATGGGTGTCTCGTATCTATGCTCAGATGATCAGCAATTTCTATAGGACTAGCATGGAATAAGCCACACCTCTGTTGTTCAATACTTTCATTTCAGTGATTGTTTAATTACTCCTGGGAGTAATTAATGGGAGCAGAGAAAGCCTAGGCTGTGCTGTAACTCAGTTTGCTTGTTATTAGCAAGTGGTATCAGAAATTGTGAATGTTGAGGAACTAGCTCCACCATGTGGACTACGGAAAATGAATATTAGATTATTTACTGGGCAATTATACTGGGCAAAAAAAAACTTGAAAGGACTTCTGAATAATGACAATAAGGAAATACATTGTACTGTAAGAAAATATAGCAATATTTTGGTCTTCCTCTAGGTTATCTGTTAGCAATAAGTTCTATAGGGAGATATATACTCAGAAAAACAGGCTTTGGTAAGATAAAAAATAGAGTATAAATTTCATACCGCATTAATGCTGAAACCCCATTCTCTTACACAAATGTGAAGTAAGATGTATATAAAGTGTTACTCCTTTTGTGTACAATAGTACCAAGGTCCCCAGAGTCCTCCCAGTGACCTAGGTAGTAACCCAGGCAGAACTGCTTCTGTACTGACAGCATTGGCATTCATTTCTGAGTTTTTCAGCATTGCTGTAATGACTGTTTTCACATAATGCCTGGATCTTCTCTGGTGGGTTGTCTGCAGGCAGAAAGACTGTGTATTTTACTTGCGGCAGCTGATCCATGCTGTCTGTGGGTGGAAGAGATAATACTGCTTTACAGCGAGTCCTGTCACGGGAAGCATCTGTGGAGGGCAGCTGGCAGCCTCCCAAAAGGACCTGCAGCATCCAGGTGGCCCGCTCTGCAGAAGGCATCAGGCATGACAAAGGAAGAGGCTTCCAAAGGAGCAACCTGGGGCTGTGTGACATTTATGGCAACTTACATAGACACTCCTGGACAGAGGGCAAACCTGAAGGAAAATACCTTCTTAACAGGGACACTGTTCTGATTTGAGATACTTGCATTTTTATTCTGCCTTTAGTAATACAGTATTATTTTGTCTATTTTAAGTAAATTAGTTTTTCTACCTTATAAGTCTCATTTCAGGAGTTCAGAGTTTTTTAGTTTTTCCAGTTCCCAACACCTGCATCTTGGTTGCTCACCTCTGAGGTAGGTCCTGTAGTTCTGAGCATGCAGTGAATCAGTAAATCAGTACAAGAGCCCAATGCTGGAGGCTTCACAAGAACATTCCTACAAACCAGTTTCAGTAGACAGGCCTTCCTGTTCTGCAGTGATTGTATAACTTACTTCTTTTTCATAGGAAATGTAAGCATGCAAATTACTGTGCTAAGGAAAAAACCTGTATGTAAGTGCTCACTGCAGAGCAGCTCATATTAAATAGACTGTTACCTAAACCTGTGTGCAACCTCTCACCTCATGGAAGGTAGTTCATCTGCTTTCATGTGCACTATAGGGATCTGAATAAATGCAAAAGAAAGGCAGATAGATGAGGTGGAACACAAACTACATAGCTTCACTTGCTGTGGACAAAAGACCTTGGGAAGAAACAGATTATTTTATTTTGCTAGGCTCACTGACAAAATTAACATTTTTAAGCTCTAATTACTCAGATGATAAACAGCAGCAAGCATATGTGGGAATCTCTCCTTGAGATTCAGTAAAAATAATCTATATTCCTTTCATTTTGCAGTAGAAACACATAATCGTAACTGCTTGTATACTTAGGGTCACAGCAGGAATTTTCAGCTCGTTTATGAACAACTGACTAAAAAATGATCACAGCTGGTGAGAAATTACTTCAGTCAATAAAAAAAAAAAAAGCTTTGAAATGGTAGGAGTAAGCTTTTAATTCTCTAGTATTTGCTTATGTGATGTGTGAGAAGCTGCAAGGGTTTCATCTGTCAAAACCTGAGATGGTAATTTATTTAAATCATTTGCCTGCCATGCTGAAACTAATATATGCATTATATGCATAAAAGTAATGATGGATTTAGTGCACCACACTGATTAGGAGCATTTTTACAATTTATTTAACTCATCAGTGCCCAGAGGCTTTTTTCCTCTGTTTAAAATAGGAGAGGTAGCAGCACCAGAGTACACAAAACATATTACTATGTTGTTACTGATGCTGTCAGTACCAATACTGTCCATCAAAGCAAGAAATGCAATGGAACAAAACTATGCATGTTTTACATGACAAAGTCTAAAGCACATTGGCAATGATGTTGACAATCTTCAGTAGTAATAGATTCAAGACAGAATGGAGTAAGAACAGACGCAAGGAGGGACAGTCTAAATTTCAGACAGGTTTTCCTGTGTGCCCGTACACAAAAAATGTTTGCTGTTTGAACCACAGTTGCTTTGCCAATAGTTGATACATCTCTATCTATTCTGCCAGTCAAAAAGCAGCAGGGGAAACATGCAAATAAAGGGCATCCAATGTGTGGGTAGCAACCGCACAGTATCAGGACAATTAAGACATCATTTAGAAGTTTTACTTTGTGTACTTAAGAAAGTACGAATGAATCAGGAAATTTCAAATGATATAAATATTCAGCTTGTTGATCAATATACTTGCAAGAATGCACATTTAAGATTCAAGTTATCGATATTCATACATGAGTCTATGATCTTAGGGAAGATATGGCAATATTTGTGTATAGGCAAGAAAAAAAAACTAACACTTTTTTGTACCTGAAAACATAGAACAAGTGATTTTGTTCTGAGGTAAAATGTGTTCTACTTCATGTCTCATGTTTTTGAGAATGTGATTGATTGGTACTACAGAAATCATGTTGAGAAATTAAAACTAGGTGTAACAGATGAAAAGGAAGTTGCTAGAATGTCCATCCTTATAGTACCAGCACAGGTATCAAAGAAAACAGTAGCAAGGCTTTCTAGTAAGTTACTTTTGTTACTTTCTATCATCATTCATCATTAGAAATAAAACAAAAAGAAAAAATCAATGTCTTACGTAAGTCAATTTATTGGTTCTCTGAAGACACAAAAGCTGTTATTTGGAGTGTGGACAACTAATCCTGCTTTATTGCTCCAATAACAAGAAATCAAAACATCACAGTCAACAGGTTTTAAGGTAGAAAGGCTCAAATTCTTGTCTCAGTTATTTGTGTAGAAATTTTCTGAACACTAAGATCAACTGCATATGAATATGTGAAAAAAATTTTACATGTAAGACATACTGCAGTAGAAAACAAAAAGTTGCTTATAAGCTTTCTGTAGAAACATTTTTGCGTTGAGATGTACAGTTCAAAGACCTAAGAGTTTCTTAAAATTAATGCTGTTCCAAGTGTTGCACACCTAAAATCAAAAACTGACCTGACAAATGCCAGAACATTTGTAAACAGGATTCAACCAATATGTTAGTTCTGCTAGCTTGGTTTTTATACTAAGCAAATAAGATTCTAATAAATGGAAATATTAATTCTCAATGGAAATTCAGCAATTCCTTGAAAATTTCTAAATACAAAGGATCAAGCTCCACATTCAGTTTCATTCCTGAATTCTCATTGAATTGTGCTGGTAATAACTGAATTTGGCCAATGTTGCCTACTTGTTGCTTCGCTATTGGAGAACCTTTTTTTTTCTAGCAAAGGTGAAAAGTGAAATAGTGAAGGATAACTGGGAAATTCTCATTTTAGCAATTGTATCCCTGCTTTATTTTAAACATAGACAAATCACTTATTGAAATTGCTGTGAACATGTTTGTTGCAGTATCTCCAGAAGAACTCTCTGCTGCCTGTTGATGAGTTAGAGGAAGACAGAGAATCCAGATGCTTCATACGTGCCATCTGAACTGTCTCCCTAGAAAATGAGAAATCTAAACAGATTCCACATCATCTCCAACCATGCAAAGGTACAGTAAACAAACACTTAAGTGATTTGTCAGTAGTAGGGAAGACAAATGACACGAGTCATCAGCAAAGACTCTCCATTTGCAATAAAGCCCCTAAAAGGCGAAATCATTAATATGTAAACTAAGATGGCAAAAAAACCCCAAAAAAACAGGCAGAGCATCAAAGGTAAAAATGCATTGTCTGGGCATGTACTAGCAGAACAACAGCAGTAAGGCTCTTCTCTCTCAGCAAACCTAAAGTTGCTATCCTAGCAGCATGACAACAGCAGTGCTGTGGTTGGATGGGTGAATTAACAGTAATGGTAAAACAAGGAAAGATCAATGGGCAGCAGCAGGACATAGCGAAGACAGCAAATGCTATAATGACAGCAAGATATCTTTTTTCTTCTTCATATGCAAAAGCTGAATATGCCTACTTGCATTCTGAAAATACTAATCCTGGATAACAAACTGTGAACAAGAGAGGGAAGGAAAAAATGTGGTATATTAAAGAGGAATTTATTCTTTGAATGTTCACACTGGAGATGAGATATCTTACAGAGATCTATAGAGGAAGATCGCTACAAGGATATTTTAGGGAGTGTGCATTTTAAAACCTGTTCATGTACTGTTTGATCCAGCTGCTACTTCTGCTTTCCTGAAGTACTGGTTCGTTTTTCTGCCTCCGTGACATTCCCTCTGAAATCCATTTTAAATATTGATACTGAGCCCATTTTTTCCAAGATCACATGGCAGAGAAGTGACACTATCACAAATGCTAAATCACTTGTGGTCAAGGAATACGTGTATCTCACATTTCCTCCACAAGGTTAGTAATTGCATTTGCATTGAGTATTTTTTCTGATTTAAGAGACAGATTCAGTTTTACCACTCAGAATTTTAAGCTGAGAAACACAGATCTTTATCCAGCAGAGGACAAAAACTAACTATGCTTTAAGATGCAGGGATTTTCTCACTCAGGTTCCACAGAGCTTTATTTGAATGAGGCTCTCACTATCCTGCCCTTCACAGGCTGAAGTGGGCGCCAGTTATCAACCAGTGGGCACATGGGCTCGTTCTCACCATTCTTGGAAAGGCTACGGAGCCTCGCCATCTGCAAGGAAGAAAAAGTAAAGCATCCATGTGAATTCATCTGGAAACTGCACCTTGATGCCTAGAACAAACTGAAGGAGAAGAGGAATTTTTTTATACAGTCACTAAAATTACTGGTAAAGATCACTGGTAGAGATCTCTGCAGCCTAACAGCTAGCATGGTTTCTGTGGATCTTTACAGTCTTCATCCACACATCTGAAGAACAACAGATCATCGGATTTTGCCCTGAGCCACACTCACAATGTGAAACAAGAGTAGGGGCTTTTGTGACTCTACTGGAGTTCAACTTCAGTTAGATCACTTGTGGAGGATGCACAGGATGAAGGAGGATGCAATAGCTGGTCTGCAAAAATTGTTTTTGGGGGGAAGGGCAGAGAAATGTCTGCCAAATGGATTATTAATCTGAAATTTCAGGCTTACTACATATTTTATTCAGAAAATAAGAGAGTAAAAACATGTTGCATCTTATGCATGTTGCATAAGAATGCTTTAAATATTTTGTTATCTGTATTTTCAGCACACAAACTCTCTCACAGTAGCATCTAGTAGAACTTCAGTCTTACTACCAGAATAGTCACACCAACTCCTAAGGCCAATCTAGAATCCTGATAGCGGATTCTTGAATTACAAACCATCTTAGAAACATCATCAATTCACACACCTGTTGAATAAAAAAATCAGCTAGACTGAATACATCCGTCGGATCAGTATAAGAGCTACCTTTTCATTATTCCACCTTTACAAAATACAAACAAATAATCTAGCCTGTAAATCTGAATAGCCTCAAATTAAAGGACAAAAGAGTAATCTTATTTTAAATGTTTATTTTTTTTCTTTAGCATTCTCTGTCTTCTGATTCTCAAGGTCAGTTTCACAGTTTGATTCAGCTCAATTCTTTTAGCAGACAATTTCTCACAGCCTTCAGCTACAGCTTTCCTTGTCAAAAAATGTAAGGTAACATAAGGCTTGCAAACTATCGCACTGACATGGTTTGAGACTATTGAGAACTGGTAAGGAGGTTAGCAGAAATAGTCGGAATTTACCTGGTCTGGGCTGACTTCAATGGGCTCCCTCAAGAGAATCCAGGTGATGCACTCCTCACAGGGGGGTGTTGTAAATGAACCATGGTACGTCCAGTAATCCCGAGATTTAGGGAAAAGAATTGACGGATCAAAGTGCTGAAAAGGAGCCTCTTTCCCCTTACAGAAAGGAAAAACAAATCTCTGCAGTAACTCTAGGGATATACTTACTAAGAAAACACCAGCAATGATGTTACATAGGAAGTAATTAAATATAAATGACAGACACCAACCTCCTTATCTTCTTGTCAAGTATCTGTCCTGAAATTATTAACAACTGTTTTTTTAACTTCATAAATAAATTAAGAGAAATTACAATCTGAATTGTGCAAGACCAAAATATATCCAATTATTGTATTTTCCTATTACCTACACCTTCAAAAAATTCATTTGGGATTATAATGCACTGAAATGGGCTCCTTAGGGAGGTGGTTGAGTCACCGTCCCTGAATGTGTTTAAAAACCATTTGGATGTGGTGTTCAGGGACATGATTTAGTGGAAGGGTGTTAGAGTTAGGGTACTATGGTTAGGTTGTGGTTGGACTTGATGATCTTCAGGGTCTTTTCCAACCTGAGCAATTCTATGATTCTATAAACATTATAAAAGTTTAGCACTGGGGCACTGCAGACACTATTAGCATTTTTATCCAAAAGAACAGTGGCTGAGCATTTACCCAACATTCATTCTTCCTTACCTCAAGGAATTCAAATCTGCATCTTACCCCTTTCCAAATTATGCTCTAATGCCACTGTTGTGGCAACACTCTCAATTTTTTTGTTGGCACTGTTACACTTCAAGTAAAAAAACTGAAATATTCCCTGGAGAGGTACAGGACTCTGAGTTCCTTATCACTACAGGTCAATATCACCAGAATGATTCCAGAAAGAAAGAAAATTTGGTTTTCTGCTGATGTTTAGGAAGTAATTCTGGAAAGCAAAACCAATTCTTCCTGTTTCACTGATGGACAATCTTCTGTAGATAGATATGATGAATTATACAAAATAGAAGACCTAAAATCTTTTCCACACATCCTTGCACAAAATACTGGCAGTAGGAATAACATCAAGACTCCAAATGTGTCTTCCTGACAAATTCAATATGACTTTGCAAATAAATTCACACACACACAAAAAGAAAAAAAAAAAAAAAAAAAGTGCTTTTCAGTAAATATAGCAGTGTTCAAGAAACTCCTCTGCCTGTAATGTACTGCAGCAATTGAGACTGCATGCAAGATAAATACACTGATGATACCATCTACTAATCTGTCCTGAAAAATAACAGTCTTGGTAAAATATATCTTATAAGAGGGAAAAAAAACTTTAAGAAATAAAAATGCAAGATGCGGGTGATTGTAGATGTATTTTTCTCTGCTTTTCTTGGAGTGTTGCTTTTTCCAGAACTAAAACATACAATATCTGTAGGGTATCTGTTTTTTTCTGTTAGAAGTCATAAATTCTGCCAGATAGGCAGTCTTGTAAGGAAGTACTTATCACTACCACCTTGTTATCGCTATATGATACAGGGCTTCAAGGGGTAACTTATGAACTTCTTATCACCTGTAGCATGTAAATCTTCTGCATGTAAATGGCCAAAAAATGACATAGGGACTGTATGAGAAAGATGAAACCATATTAAGACAGATCTTGTAGACAAAGAAGGAGCAAAGGGTAGGGCAAAAAAAAATGACCTTCTATTCTCCAGGAGAAAGAAATGAATTTTGTATGAAGACTAAGAAAAGATTGAAAAATTGAAACTAATAAGACTGAGTTGATAGATAACAGATTTCAGACTTGGGTCCTCATGTCAATGGCACTATGTATATGCTTAAAGTAAATGCAAAAAATTCTTCCACATTTGGAAGAAAACGTGCACAAACTTTGTAAAATTGAGTCCTAGTGATCTGGTGTTGTAGTCAAAATCAGATAAAATAAGAGTTTCATTTTTAGCATCATTGGAATCATGATGCTTATCACGAAGGACAATGCTGTGTACCCAGGAGTTAGGTTTATAGCATATAATCATGTTAAGTAACAATAGAAATAGTAATGATCTTTCTCTGCAAAGAACTCTTCTGCAGTTTTACATATGTAAATACTTCTGTCCTTAGGTAAGCATCTATTTATGCTGGATCAACAGCACCTGCAAGGATTGAAAAACATCCTCTACAAGAACAGAAATAATAATAGAAGTGAAGAATTACATGATTACTGAAGTAAAGGAAAGCATCCTACTTTCCAGTCCAATCTATCAACTCTAGTGCTAATGTTAGGAACAGAACAACACAGAAAAGAGTGAATCTCAATTTCTAATTTCTGCTTCTGCTGCTTTCCAATTGCATTATGATACAACATATTGTTTTGATACCTTGGTCTTTATCTTGTCAATTTCTTCAAGAATTCTCTTCATTTCCGGTTTGGGAGTTTTTCCAACCTGTAATGCAAAGCAGAAGTACTGTATTTTTTCTGCTGACACAGATTATTCCACAGCACTTCTGCAGTCACATCAGACTTGATGCAAGACCTATTCTGGGTCACTCTATTGCTTATGCTCACAACACTCCACACCTCCAAAAGTAGTGATGCAGCTCTGCATCTGAGAAGAATGAAGATAGTATGCAAAAGACATGATTTTATTGCCACATCTTTTTCCAAAAACAGATAAAATTTGGTTATTCAGGAGATAATTACTTTCTTCCTCTTCCTTCCTTCTTCTTCCTTCCAAGTTTATACACAAAATCAATTATAAAACATCTGTATTGTATCAGTCCTATTAACCTGCTGTATTTCAAGGTTAAAATATTGAATGAACTCCTTTTACCATCAATTCTTTCAATTACCTGGTCTTTTGGAGCACTCCCAACTTATGTAAGGACCAGCAGGAGACCAAGGAAGTGAATCAGTCAACATAATCTTGCTGACAGGTGCTCCTCACTCAGTACAAATCAGAGCACAGAGCTGAGCAGCTCTCAGGGACAAAGTCAGCAACTGCCCTAAGAAGTTGTGTCTACCTCATTCAGTACTACTGTGATATGTGCCACTGGTGTCATGAATGGCATTTGATGTTTGCTCTGAATGTAAGGGGGCATGGAATCTGAAGTGCCCAAGGACATACGTGACTTCAGCCTGTGTATCACTTACAATGTTTTCCTGTAAAATAATATAGTTGAGGGAAAAATAATAGTAAAAGATGGAAAATACAGAAAATATACAAAAACTGAATATTTGTCACTTACTTTCAGAAAAACGCCCACAACAGCCACACCATCAGGTTGTTTCAAAGCGCCAGCAAAATTACCATGTTTTGGATTCCAGTGTACCAGATGTAACTAAAAATCAATAACACTTCAATTGTAAATGCAAAAAATTGCCAATAGAGCTAACCTTACATTATATTTAAAAAAGTTTCCAATACATGATAAGTGAAGGAAGAGACATGAAAATGTATCTTCCTATGTTTCCATGTGCTCACACTTGCTATAAACATCACTTTGCATTTAACTGAAACATAAAGAAAAGGAAATACCTTTTAAAAATTCATTGGACAATCCAACTACAAACAGTTCAACCCAAGCATGTGACATACACACATGCAGTATATAAAATATCTACTGACATGCACTTCACACAGGCAGATTTTTAGACCTTCAGGTTATGCAGACATCACCTCAAGGATTTACACTGGGTTTTATCCAGTACATTTGATATTGCTTTGCATCTCTTACTATTCTCTGTATACCATAATGGAGAGCAATTGAGATTTTAACTTGGTATTTCTTTCTCATTTCTACCTTCATCATACATGTCAAGTTCTATATCTCCTTCCAGAAAAATCTCTGGTGCTTCAGGAATCACAAAATAAGCAGTGTCTGGAACTTAATACCATACAACCCAGTGCATATTCTGAACCCAAATTTTAGCAGTTTTCTTTAAGCACAGTATTTTCTTTTCTCTTGAGAACAAAGATATAATTGCTAAGGATAAAGGTAGAGTAGCCATACATCTTTGGCCACATTCTGGCAATATTTTCATACTTTCCAGGCATCCTTCTCTTGTCTCATTTTGAGGAAGTAGAACTTGTTTAGTCAGCCACATTTAGTTGAATACTAATGCAATCTGACTGTGGCTGAGGAATAAAAGAAAAAAGAAAACACCAAAAAACATCACTGACAGTCATCTCAGCAACGTATATGCACACTGATCCTGTAAAATATCTGCCAGAACCTTCTCCTACAATTGGCATGCAGAGCCCCTGAAAGCTCTGCATCTAAAGGATGAGTTATTTATGGTAGAAAATCATTACTGCAGTCTTTTCTTGTGAACATATTGTTAGCCTATTCACAGATGAGATGGACAAAGGAGGTATTACTTGCTGGTAATTCACTAGCACCACTAGTGAATTCATTCATATTTATTAACTGAAGAAGTCTTCAGGACCTAAAACAATCATTAATTTTAGCAACTTTGGACAGTAATGGCAAGGTAGTTTATATATTAAATAAAATAACCCAAGTTCTTTTCAGTTCCTGAAAATAGACAGCATTTTTAAAGAGTCTTCATCAAATGGAAGGTACTCTACCAGTCCAGATCAGCTTTAAAAGTAGATCCGATTTTAAACATCAGCTTATCAAATGCACTTTTAGCCAGTTTTTCTGGTCATTAGTAATGTTTCCTAACTTAGTAGTTTGAATTATGCTAGAAATTACTAACAGACAAAAAAACATCAGCAGAAAACAGAGCTTTTTATTTGGAAATAATGTATCACCTTGCCTCAAATATTTTTAAAACATTCTACAAAAATTCTACAAAATAATTAGAAAAAACCCTCTTTCTCAATGAATCAAATGTCATGTTAGTATGTATTTGCAAAGATATGTTCATTGTCAGATACAACATATCCCACTGCACAACGATGAATATTCATAAGTTTCATGGACAAATTATAAATAAAGCAGATTTTAGAGAAAAAAAATAAAAGGATAGTCATGTAAGGGAGAATGGTTAATCTGTTAATCCACTCAGATGCACAATCAAATTCCAGTTAGTGCTGAACACTACTATCGAAAGTAACTCCTACCTCTGCTGCATATTTCACCCCATCTATAACATGCTCAGAACCATGGTCATCAGTAGAACCCCAGTGCAAGTGCAGCTGTCGCAGCCTGTAGGCTCCTGTGAGCGGCCCACCTCTCAGCACTGCAAATGATAACCTGCATCAGAGCTAGCCTACAACATGGGGACACACACATTTACCAAATGGGGACCTGTACCTTACAGGTTTGAAGCACCTCTTGTAAATCCAGCTGGTAGCAGCAGAAGCCACAATACTCACCACTGTGTAAGAGTGGGCTGAGTTCTTGAGTACCATTTGAATTGAGAACTGTACAAGCTGACATTCAACAAGCACAGAATCAAAACTCAGCTGCCCAACAACCCCCTTTCCTCTTGCAAGCAGGCATCTTACAGTTCCTGCTGTAAAGGGAGAAGGGTGCTATTCTTTTACAGCTTTCTCTTTGCAAGAAAATGTGAAATGTTCAGATAGGACTTTGAATTGAATCCAAAAGTGCTGTGAAACATACCTACAGTGTAAGACCCTCATACTTGTTAAAATTCAGTCATTCCAAACTATGTTTACAGCATATTTGGATGCTTCCAGGAAAATAATCCATTTTTTTTAAGTGAAGGATGAGAAGAAAGTTGAGCTTACATGAATTAGAAAAGTATTCTTGAGCAAGCAAAACCTTTGGTCTGCATTTGACATAACCACCAAAGAAATAAATTAAGAAACTACCTTTTCTGATGTTCTTAGGCAAATAATGCTTGCCACATATTAGCAGCTGACATAAACTCTGACTTTCTAAACACATCTGCTCTTTCAGCTTGGGGATTTCTTTGAGTAAGGACTGCTTATAGGATAAGCTCTCAAATGTATTTTTCCTTCATTACCTAAGACAGGAATGTAACATGTTTCCTTACACAGAAAGCTGATAATGCTGCTCACACCAGCAGTGCCAGAAGACCTTGCTTAAATTGCATTCAAGTTTGGACTTCTAACAATAGCTTCGAAGTTCAAAGTTAACATATTTAAAATCTCTTGTATCCAATGGTGTCAAATTTATTTTTGATATCATATGTGTTGGAATACCTACAGATGTGCTAAGCACGGAGCAAAAGGTTTAACTTTGCAGTTTCTCTTTTTAGTTGGCATGTGTCACAGCCAATGACAGACTATGGAGGGCAGAAACAAAGCACTGCTTCGAGCTTCAGGCACACGCTCCTCTTAAATTTTGAGTTTGTTAATACATAAATTATGTAACTTACTAATTATTGTAGAGAACCTTCAGTGAAAGATGTAATATATCACAAGATATTCTTCTTGCTTCGCTTTTGAACATAGGAAAAACAGAGCTTAAATTCCATGGCTCAAATTCTTAAAAGTATTTGCTTGCCATTTCACACTGTAATCAATGCAAGGCAGGAATTTTCTTTCAAGAACTGAATTCTGGTGTTCAACCTACATTTACAAGCTAAATCAATACCAGAGTTAGAAACTCAGTTAGCAGTGGCTTCTTACAAATGGTCCATCCCAGAGCTCAGATACTGTGCAGAACATGGAAACGGCACTTCATAATGGTCTGCAGATCTCTCTGACATAAATCTTTTCAACATGCAAGATTTTCCCATTAGATAAGACAAAAATAGATTTGTGCATACTGAGCTCAGCTGTTGCCATCATGGAAGTCAACAAAAGAAGGTAATACGTGTTTTTGAAATCACTTTTCCTGTGGTTCTTCAGAGCTATCGAACACTATATTTGATTCCAAGTAGATAAACCTCCAGGAAAGGACTTTCTGCAGCAGCCTGCAGAAAGTTATTAACAGAAGCACGGAGTGAATGTGTGAACTGGGCATTCAAAAGAACAGGGAGAATGGGGAAGGAAGGGAATGGAGGGAAGACAATTTACAGGATGGGCAGGAAGGACTACACCAAGGGCTATGCCCTTCTTGACCAAATCAGGGACTTTCTCCAGAACAGTTCCCTGGGCAGACACTTCCTGGAACAGCCTCCTAAACATTTCAGCTTTTAGAAATCTGCAAAGACAGAGCAGAATCATCTGAAAAGGTTCATAATCAGTTTACTTTATCACAGGCTTTGAGCTGTGGTATTGATTTTATAAAATCATTGTGAAAAAGTATTCTATTTTATAACAAAAGTGTAATTTATTATTTACCTGAAGCCTCTGTATAGAAACATCAGTAGTGGATATTAAAGCACTGCAAAAATACATGACAAAAAGATGGTTTGTGTCCTAAATAGTTTGGATACTATCCATGAAATGTGGAACAATAGCAGGTAGCTGTAATGGTAAACAGAGGAGTCCAGGAAACAATGAGCTCATCAGAATAAACAACAAGTGATTGTAACCTTTCAAAATACCGCAGATGTATTTCATTAATTATATAGCTTACTAACAACAGGTTTCCAATACAAATGCCATCAAAGCTGATACAGAAAAAATACAATGGAAAGTAACTCTGTTTTCCATAAGTATGATTGTTTTTCTTCTTGCCTGATCAATATTGCATTCTCTTCAGATGTCTTCAAATTATATGGCACTGTGAATTCATATTTCACTTTGACAGTTGCTGTCTGTTTTGTATTCAGAACTATGTACTGATACAGCTCTGGAATCTAGTTTTGAACAATCTAACTTCAGAGATGCAAGGCTGATCTCTCAATCAAGTAACAATGCCACTTCATAGCTCTTCAGACTTCTGCAAAGTACAGGGAAAAGAATCAAATCAAAGTCTGAGTTAAAAGAATCTGAGCACTTCCACAACTTGTTAAAGTTTTGGAGCTGCTGTTCAGGGTAGATGATTGTGATCATAAAGGTATATAGTTTGCATGCAGCAAACTTGAAGTAATGCTTTCATAGCACTTTGTGGTTGACTGAAGTCTGATGACAACTCTAATTTCATTTAGCTGCATTCAGTTGCTTCCTTCTGAACACACACATGTAGTCCTGCAGTTCACACTGTTAAAAAGTCTACAAACACCTATGGCATTTTGCTTAAACAGGCACTGCAGGCTTTGAGCTCTGTTCATCTGCTTTATTTTATGAAAAATAACTCTGTTATACCTGATTTCAGATTATATTCTTCTCATTCATGTAGTTCACATATATTACAAAAACACCATTCTATATATTATATAAAAATACGCAATATTAAGCCTCCCCTGATGTTAAGCTGTTGCTGCATTAGAATCAAAACATTTGCAGTGAAGTTTTACAGACTGAAAAGGCTGAATTTGAAGATAAGGGTTTAAAAGAACTTCCTATCTTGAGAAGTCTGAACTCTGGATTCAGGACTTATGATGCAGGAAGAAGCAGCACAGAATCATAGAATGGCCTGGGTTGAAAAGGGCAAGAAAGGTCATCTAGTTTCAACCCCTTGCCACAGGCAGGATCGACCAACCACTAGACCAGGCTGCCCAGGGCTACATCCAGCCTGGATGCATGCATGAGATGGGGACAGAAGTGTTTGCACACATTGTGCAATGACAATCAGTGACAGAAAGAGAATAACAAGAAAAGGCCATGAACAGCAAGGAATGCTATAAGAAGTTGGTTGCTTCCTTTTGCATTCAAGCAAATGCCTCTTTGCAGATTCTTATACATAATGGTAACTGCATTTGTGATTTAACCACATCCGTTTCTCCTATCTGGAACAGTCAGTAAAAACACAGTTTTGGATAGCTGGTCAGACCAAAACGTTATAGGTGACTTTTGCCAAAAGAAGTTCCAGATTAAAGGCTGACTTTTGTGACTTAGTGGTAAAACAGTAGAGATACTTTCAGAACTAGAAAAAATAGCCAGAGGAAACTCAAGGTGATGTCAAGCATGTAGAAGAACATGAACATAGATGGGGTATCTTCCTGGAAAAGAATAAACACAGTGTCCAAGTGCTCAAATACACTAGGATGGTGAAAATCTCCGAATCTGAAATAACTACATGGCTGAACAGAGCAATCATCAACCTGACTGTGGGGGTTTGAACCAAACAGAAGAAATCAAGGTCAAAGTTTATGGCAATGTATGAGCTTTTTGTTTATGAAGGGTCTAAGCCAGTGCATGAAATACTTCTGGATGAAATCCTCTCACCTTACACAACATCTGGGGACTTGCTGTCCATGCTGAATGTTACGTAGGGAAAGGCTAGCAATAACGCTGGCTGCTGCTAAGAGCCCACCCCACTAGATCTGCTAAGAGCCGTCTGTGCAGCTACAGCCCCCTGCCCAACCTGTCTGCAAAACATAAAAATGGCAGGACACAACAAAATAAGTGCTGGACCACCTCCCTTGCCTACACAAAAGTCTTCATTTGTGTGGGCTAGCTGCTGTGGGATGCTTTGATTCCAAGCGCTTTGTGAGCCTTCATTCCTAATTACCCCCCAAAGGCAAAACAGAAGCTGACCTGATCTATCAAAACTGTCATCAAAGACAACCCTGCAGGTCCGCCCGTTGTTCAGGATGGTTTTAGCCGCCCCGGGATCGTAACTGGCATACCAAGAAGCAAGAGAAGAGTCGTGCCGCACATCTTTGCTGTTGATCTCGATGGGCGACTGCTTGTCTCCTTTGGCCATGGGGTAGTTCTCATGCCAGTGCTCAGGTCCTGGTGGAAACGCAAGAGATGTTCACCAACACCTCCGGCCGGGCTGCGATCCCCAGCCCCCAGGGGCTCCCCATTTCACCCGGGCATTTCGTTCTGAAGGAGGACAGCAGACCCCGAGCCCTGCCCACCGCAAAGCCAGCCCGGGCCGCGCCGCCCCGCGCTCCCTCTCACCGTTCTCGCTGTCGTAGCCCCACACGGACTGAGCCATGCTGCCGCTGTCCGTCCCACCCCTCAGCCCCCGCGGTTCCAGCCACACTGCGCTCCCGCCTCTTTCTCCCCAGAAGCTTTTTATAGCCGCCGCCGCCCCACGTCCCGCCCTCAGAGGTGGGCTGGGGCGATGGGAGGCTGCGAGGAGGGCAGGGCTGGAGGTGGGCAGGGGCGACTCGGCCGTCCCGGGGTCGTTCCCTTCCTCTCGCAGCTCCGGACAGAGAGATGGATGTGGAACGCGGCCTTTTGTCCCTCTCCCTCACAGCGTGCCCTGCCCCGCGGAATATTTTCCCCTGTTTGAGGGCAGCGCCGCTGGTTGGAAATGCACGTGGATGCGGCTGGGCAAGCTCCCAGAATGGGCATACTTCAGAGTTCTGTCTCAAGTGCTTGTTGCAAATACTCCTCTGTCAACGACTACAAAAGACGCTGTAGCTGTCTGAGAGGATATCTTGGAATGCAAAATCACCTTGCTATGCAAAGTCAGCCCCTGTTGCCTACAAAATAAGTCCATTCCTTCCTGTTTGGTCAAATCCCAATTTGCTTTTTTCCATGTGCTTCTCATGTTCAGAAGGAGCTTTGCATTGGATGAGTGCAAAACCACACACACTTGCTGGCCGTTCATCCTGCATTCTGCCAAAGGCTGCAGCCCAGAACGTGGATCCTCCATTCCCTGCAACTCTATCATCTGCTAACATCTAGCAATAAGGAGTGTGGTTGAGGCCGAACTGCGGAAACTCAGTCTGAATCTATTGTAGATCATGGCCAGGTGTTGGGAGGAAACAGCCACAGCCGGATATTTCAGCCTCTACATGAAAGCATTGGTCATGTCAAGCAACTTAACAATTGGTATTTTGGTTAGGAAAACATTGGTTAACAGCTGTTTTCCAAATGATGAAGAGTTCATGATCACAGTGGTGATAGTTGGCTTTCTTCCTGCATTTCTGTTGAATGGTGAAAGCTTTTCTTTCAAATGCTACCTTCTCTACAACCTCTCATTTTGGCAGTCCATGTTATCACTATTGCAGTCATTATCTATCTCAAGCTAAATGCTACCTCAAACTGCATCCCTCAAGCTAAATGTTTGAGGGTCTGCCAAGAGGTCTTGCAAACCATGGAGATTCCCAGCAATAATTGCAGTGAGGTTGATTGTGTGCCCATCAGTACTGGAAAGTAGATTGAACTTAAAACTGCACCTTAGAGACTGCACAAGTTGAAAACTGCTTGTATTGATGGAGTACAGGGAGAAGCTTGAGAAGGTAAAATTTACAGAGCAGAAGGTTAACTTGATCATATTTTGCATCCCACAAACATCTAGAGGATAAAAGTTCCACATATGATTTACTTACATTGCTAGGCTAATAAATAACTGAATTTGGACTTTGTTCAATTTCACTACAGTGATTTTTCAAACTTGATCAGTAAATTCTTCTTACTCTGAGATTACTCATGAGTAGATACCCACTTTTTGATAGAAAGCTAGGACAAGATCTCTCACTTAGGAATCTGCTTCTGAGAAGATTTATATAGGGCTTTATATAAAAAGTTTTATATATATTCTCTATACATCTTTATATAGAGAATATAGGTTGAAACTCATGAAACACAGTATTGTAAGAAGTATGCCTGCCAGCACCTTAAAGATAAAAGACGTGCTCATTGTTGATGTGACTTCCTTAGACAAAAAAAAAGAAAAGAAAAAGAAAAGAAAAAGAAAATGATAGAAAGTTAATTATAAACAGTCGTGTGGAAAATTATATCATCTTTTCACTTCAAAAGAAAAAAAAAGAACTCTGAAGCAAAAGAAAATATAATCTTTTACTCTGTCATCAATGTAATGTCACATTTGTTTGCAAGGACAGACATGTAAAGTTGACACCTGTTGCAATTTTAATTCAGAAAGCTTAGACTTTAATCCTTTTCAAATGGTTTCTACTTTATCTTGGTAGAGAGAAACATTTGTGAGCTCATGAAATTCTAATTGGAGCAGCTTATTTTCTTTCTGTATAAAGAGACAGTTTTAGTAGGCTTGATTATTATAGGCTCAGAGAGAATTTTAGTCAACTTCATGCACACAAGGATTGCTTATTAGGCCCATTTATAGAGGTAAGCAACATGATTTGTATGGCACAGAAAAAAGGGCATGTCAGTACTTCCGTAGTGTTTCATTTCATTGTCCTACATGAGATTTTACAAAATCTGCTCTGTTAAAGAAACCTATGACAACAGAAGAAGTCTTCACATTTAAATTTTCCAGTGATCTAGTCCTGTTGTACCCGCAAGAGCAGCTCTTCTATCAGCTTCCGCACACATAAGGTGCAGACTTACACATGTAAGTGACAAATAGTAGGATCAGCAGTGTGGGCACTTGGAGTCAGCCCCAGACACTGAGTCATATCACAGTGTTTCATTGACTTTGTTGTTACTCGTTTCTTTTTGCTTTCATCATCAAAGGCAGAACAAAAAAAATATGTAGTAGTTTTATCTGTATTAAAAGATAATCACAATAGAATGCTTTTTGCATCCCTTAGGACCTACTTTTGTATCTATCCAATATTGGCACATAAATTTGTTATCATCTAACTGGCTTAACATCATTTTCTCTCAGAAGTAGATGCTTCTGTCACATAAGGCCCCTATAATTAAGAAAAGCCCACAGTTTTAAACATGCAAGAAGAGCAGTAGTTCCTAGTGCATTCAAACCTGCATTGCAGTGATTTGTTTCTTTTTTCTAAACCTCTGATACAGTTAGAGAGCCAACAAGCCTCTGAAATAGCAAAACCGAAATCAACCTATATCACTGTTGAAAAACATCAGGATTTCTGCAAACTTGGCTGCACTGTGCCTCACCTTCAGTATGACAGTAATGAAAGTATCTTCACAGCATGTTCTGAAAAGAAAATATGCTATATCCATTCTTCGGGTGGAGATTTGGGGTAAAAAAGGATTTCAGCCATAAAAGTATTCCCACATCTCTTAGGCACTTGTAAGAGTCTCAGCTGAACCCACTCACATGTGAAGGCAAAGGAAACTGCAAAAATAGCAGGAAATCCAGTGCAATCCCCTTATTTTGAGCTTTAATAAGAAGGTTGTACTTGGTCAAGAACAACTCTGTGCATTAGTGGAAACAATAAAGGACATAGCAACTTTTCTTTTACAAAAACATGAAGATTTGAGAAACCAGTGAAGGGAAAGTAAGAAGACCAGGGAACTGAATCAATGTGACCAAAGCAAATGGCAGATTTCATCAGCAGCATTAGTGGTTCCATCTAAATAGTACTAATAAAAACATTATTTGTGATTTTACTTGCAGAAGCAAAGATGTACATTTGTTCCAAGTGTTCTGATTTTGTTCTTTGAGGTAGAAGTGATTTCAGCATCAACTGGAGACTGCAAGATGAAGCGCAAGTACAGGCTGAATAAATACTAAACCTCTAAACCTGGCTTCTTTTCAACTGTTCTTATAGAATCATCCTGGAATACAGAACATTTAATGTTGTAATTGTTGTCGAGTAAAAAGTGACATAGCATGGAAAGTGATTAAAGAATGCTTATTATATTTTAGCTTTGACAGATAGCTGCCAGACAGCTTCTTATCACCACGTTATCTGTAAATACGTAGTATCAAGAAGTACTAAAATCCAATCCCAGTAGCAATCTTTGTTTCAAACTTCTCTGTTGCAATAATAAAATGGCACATTCAAAGTAGATAAGTACCTGCAGCAAACCTTCCTATAACTTAGGAAAAATACAGTGGGATGAGGTGACCAGAAGTAAAACTATTTGCTTCAATCAGTAGTTGTAGACACGCCCTTGTTTGAAGCTGATACCCAATCACAAGACCACAGTCTACTTCGAAATGTGTCTGAATAAATAAAACATAGTCCTGTAGTCCTGTTTGAAAGCAGGCACTGTTCATCCAAAAGAGGACTTTAACATTTGTCTCCTAAATGAAATACTGAAGTAGAAGACCAGTACTAATTAACATGCTTTAGCGATAGGGCACTTTCTGAGGGATTTGGAATTCAGATGTAGTGCTTGCTTCTGCCCAGCAAAAAAAGAATAATCGAGTTCATTTCATGTATGGAAGTACCTTGCCTGAAGTCAAAGGCACTTTGTTTGGGTAAGAAAGGGAAGAATAAGCAGAGTCTGGAAAATGGCTCAGAGTCTGGAAAGTGGCTTTACCCAGGACAGAGATAGCATACATAGGAGAAAAGTGAGTTACTTTCTCCAGCTCTGGACCTCACCAGCTGTGGCTGGATTGGCTAATACTTTGACATAACTAGAACAATCAAAGCTCTGTTCCACCTCGGAATACCACTTTCCAGCAGTATCCAGAGGCCAGAGTGACAGCTAGAACTGGCTGACTGTAAGGGGACTCACACAAGTAAATATGCCAGCAGGATGTAATTCAAGAGTTCCCCTGCTCGAATATAAGCTTTCCAGGTTCCACTGTGCTTAGGGCTATTTCCCGTGGGTGATTTCATGCAAAGGACTTTACCAGACAGAGCACAGAGCGTGCCCGTGATGAGCACATTGTTAAATAAGCAAAAGCATTTACGCAGTCACTGTGGCTAATCTAAAAATAAAATATCTTCCATTATATTTAATAGCTTGTGGAAGAAAACAAGACAACATAAAGGAATCTGATAATACAAAATAGGGAAGGGGCAGCAATATTTTTTGACATATTGCACATTGCATGCTCGGCAGTGCAAGAAAGGCATGTCACTCAGTGCTTTTGATTGAGGGATGCCATGCTGGCATGCCATAGCCAGAAAGCCAAATTGTCATATGCCTTCCACTTTACTGAGATGCCATGCTGTGGAAAACATTGTGAGCATGAATGGAAACCCCTATTAACAGCCAGACCTATGTAGGAAAATCTGCCAAAGGAAAAAGAGAAGGATATTGGGTCAATTTTGTTGTTTTTTACACAATGAGTTATTTAGCTACATTTAGATTATTTGATGAAAAGCAGAATCCAGCGCATCCAGGCAAACAATAGGCTTTTTATGTGTATTTCCATTTCAGGAGAGATGTAGTTCTGCAGTCTTCTGTTCAGACTCCTTTGAGCTTGCTTGCAAAATCCCATCATTCACCTTCTATGGTTCAGAACCTGTATTACCATTTGCAGAACTTAGTGTTTAGTCCATATGAGGCAATAAATGTGAAAGCAGCAGAACAGAATCCAGATTTGGCAAAAGGAACTTAAACAAGTTTTCCTTGTGGCAGTCAATTAAAATGAATACCAGCTTAAAATCTATAGCAAGTAAATAAATTAATAAATTGGTGAATTTATTAAATAATGCATGTTGATCTGATACAAGAAAAATATATTGCCTTTTTAAGATATCTTTCAGCTTTGAAAAATTAAACTGCAGGGAGGTGACTCTTCTGTGTTGTTGTTGCTTTTTTTTTTCTCATAGGAATTTACTTGTATGGTATTCACACTGAAATCCAAATCTGAGCTGGGCTGTCTACTTTTATACACACTGGCACAGTCTGACTTGAAATAATCCAAGTATGAGAATCTGACCTATACTGTTTGCTTTTATAAACTGTGGACGTGTCTGTTCAGAAATTCCATCAGATTGGCAACTCTTCTATATCAAGGTAGAGTTTTATGCATGACCTTCATCTTGCATGATACTCTGGCAATAACATCTACCTGAGAATAGTCTGAACCAGACCACAGAAATGCTAAAAGGAGGATGGAGGAGTTCATAAGAGCTTTACAAAGGACATCTCGATGATATATGTCACACAGTTAATGATGCAGCAAAACAGAAATACTTCAGACATGTTTTCCAATGAGACACATCTTCCTAAAAGAGAATTTTATAATGAAATCTTTGGATATGTTTTCAACCTTTGAAATATGCCATCTGCAGACAGCAGAGATTTCAACTCTTAATCATCTTCCAAAAATCCCTTGATAGATCCATGTCTCCTGAAGCCCTAAGAAGGTTACTCCCTATGAAACCATATCATTTATGCACTTCTAAAGGTCAGAGCATAGCATCCCATTTCTATTAACACCCGTGCTTCACTTCAATGGAGTCAAGATTTCACTCTGAGACCAGAAAACAACTTTGAAACTTTGAAAGCTGCATTAGTAGGTCTAAAAAAGATGGCTCGAAGTATGGAAGTATTAACTATCTATATGTATACAGCAAGTGTAAAGAGCGGATAATTATAGAAAAGACAATTTAAGGAACCCCTTACTTGGCAAGTATGTGAATGTCAGCATCTGTACATTATGTGTTTTGGAAAAAAATCAATTATTTATCACCTTAATCAATGTCAAGACTTCATTTCTTTGCTTTGCTGATTGATGCTAGACATTTTTTTTTTTATCCAATCAAATTCTGCCATGAAGATCTCATGTAGTCATTTTAATGACACTACTCACATACCTGCAGTAGTGTGTGGTAC